TAAATTGAATTCCAGGTGACTAAAATATGTCTGCACCTTTTTTCTAATACATCTTTGACTAATCCCTTAAAAAAAAAAACCTACTAAAAGATTTCAAAACTCTCTTACTTTCCTATCACCTCACACAACAACATTTTGTGTATTTGGTGGATTTGTATCCGATAAAATGCATTATACAAGCAAAATGAAGTAAATTCCCATCCACCTAAATACAGTGGAGGGGGGATTTTATGTTTAATTTAATTTGTTAAACAGGAAGAGCATTAATCAAAGAAATAGCCAAGTGACACATGGTAGCTCTGGAGGAGCTACAGAGACTGACAGATCAGGTGAGAAAATCTGATAGGCAATTATTTGTGCAAATAATACGTCTAACCCTCATGCAGACTGTCGAGAAAAAATAAAAAAAATAATAAACCATCCAACAAAAGGAAAATTGCTACAACTACCATTTCATGCGAGAATAAACTTCTTTAATTGAATACAACTATTAATCTGAAATGCACAGCAACAGAGATGAGACAGAAAAAACAAAAAGCATGAGAAGAAAATAAAGAAGCTCTAAGGGAGGGAGGCACAGACTTTCTATTACCAAACTAAGCCTTTTAATCAATAAAGAGATAAAAGATATTTTAATCAAAGACATATTTCCTTGTTTGTCTAATGCTTCTGCCGCCACTGTGCACATAATCTTTAAACGGTAAAAACAATGCATAATGCTCTCCCAGAGAGCCACTCATCCATATAAACAGAAAACAGGAGCAGTCAGCAGAAACGCACACCAGCCCAGCCCAGCTCACAGACACTCCATAGACGCCAAATTACATTAGGATGGGCATATTAAGGGGAAATGCATCCTGTAAAATAGGATATTATTCCCACATACAAACACATTGCTGGTGCACACCCACATTTTTTGAACATCATATTTTCTGGCCCTGTGCACAGCATTCCATAGCAACGCTACCTTGTTTGTGCATGTACACAATGCGCACGCACACACACACACACACAAGCACACACACACGTGCAAACCATGTTGCTATTAGTGTGAGGGCTTTTTGTCGGACAAGCAGGCATCCGCTGGCCGTGGGTAAAGCGTTTCAATGAGATTAGAGAGGTAACTGGAACCTTTGTAGATCTGCTGGACTGAGAAAACAAGTCCAGCAGCAGTGTTCAAACTGGATCAGGTTCCAGCAGATAATGAGTCCAAGACTAACTGACACTTAATTGAGCAATAAAGGGTGCACGTTTATGTCTGGGGAGCAGGTAGGCGAGTAAGTAAGAAGCGTCACTCGCCTGTATATTTTTTGTTGACCCTGTAAAAACAGAGGACCTCCAGCACATGGAGCTGCACTACGTTCTACGTGTTAAAAACAGCCTTGGCGCACATGTGTGTGTGTGTGTGCTTGTGCATCAGCTAGTGTGAGGTCTGGACTGTCAACAGAGCATCGTAGTTTGCACTTCTGCCGAGCACCGGGGAGCAAACAGCAGGTCCGGTAATAATGATTCATGCTTTCCGTCAGGCCCCCTGACAGGCAGAGTTCGATCCCCTGTTCAGTGCGCTGTAGCGGCGGCAGCCGAGGCCGGCGCAGTACCACGGACATCATCATAACAGCCGAGGGAGAGCTGGGCTGCTGACATATTGATCGGCCCCTCAGTTAGGAGATTTGATGGATTGACCCCAGACTCTTGACTTTAAACAGTGAAACGCAGAGGGCAAATCAAAAAGTCATGGTGGGGGGATGGGGAGAACGGAGATCAGCGGGGAAAGGGTGAAAGCAAAACAAGTGACTGAAACAAAAACTCAATAAAGTCATTCATGACAGCTGCTAAAGATTATGTTTGGATTCAGATTAAAACAAGAATTAGTTTTAGGCATTTTAACCAATTGTATCAGTTTCTTGGAGCAAAAGGTTATACAATCAGCATGACTATTGATTTCAGGTACAATAACATACCAGAAAATGTCCACTTTTTCTCAGATTTGCTAAACAAAATGTAAGAAAATTAAATAAATAAGTCACCATAATGTGATGTTTTAGTTTTTAGTTTTACCCCATGCTTATTTTTTATATTGCAGTAGAATTTGTGTAACTAATTACAATAATATTTGTGCCATATTTAAAGTATTTTTAATAAAACATTTTTATATGTACAATCTAATTAAAAGCTGTAAGATGGAGGTATTGAGGAAGTTGTGATTAGAAGAATAAACACCTCAAGTACACCACAAAACTAATATATAAATTATCTACAATCCCATAATGAGCTAATAAATCTTCCATTTGACCAAGTTTCTAAATGACATGTAATTTTTTTTTATTCCCATGTTCACGTGTATTTCAGAAGAGGGAAAAAAAAAAAAAAAAAACCAGCCACTGATTCCAGCCATCAACTCATTACCTGTGAGTAAATTACCTCACTGTGGTTTGAAGATGTGGTTCGGGGAAGGATTACAGTCCAGGTGAACAATTCTTCACGTTTAGGACCCGGAACTCTAAGGGCGATTTTCTCGAGGTCGCAGTAATTTTTAACAAGAGTAATCTGTCTCACACCATGGTGACCTCTGACTCAAAGTTACTTTAGTGCAATGCTTCTGTCTGTAAATGCTCTAAACACAAACTCATCGTCTTCAACTGTACTTAAATTAAAATCCAAACTCTAATTATACATTTACTTACTCATGTTTTCTCTAGAGACTTGTTATCTTCATGTTTTTAAAACGCCTATGCATCTGGAACATTTCCACTTAAATATTGAATGATGTACACAAGCAGTTGGTACAGTCTCATTATACATTATCAACCAGGTTTTCTCTATAATGTTCATAACTTCCGTCTCTTGTATTTTCAACAGGCCAACAGACCACTTACTAAAATAATGTGTATCATTATTCTTGCAAACAAACCTCTTTATCCTGAAAAACTTTACCTTTATTCTTAAAACAAGCCTTTTTCAACCGCCGTACTTTGTCACATAACCACAAACTTCAGTGGTCACGGATTTATCATCATAAAATAAAAAATTTATATCATCATTTTAAATTGGGTGGAACATACATAAAAAACTGAAAAGTGTGGTGTGCATTTGTACTTATTATATTTCTTAAATAAAAGGTACTGCAATTTCTCGATTAAAGTAAACAGAGTCCATCTAAGTGGAATTTATTAAATACAGTGATTCTGTGACAGCCTTAGAGGTTTGTTAGGAAACATTAGTGGACAAGGTGCATCATGATAATAGAGGAACACAGCATAAAGGTCAGTAGAAAAGTTAAAAACAACTGTAAACTTTGAACAGCTAAACTGACAAAACCAGGCCATCAGGGTGTGATTCAGAGAAGCAACTAGGATGCCCAGAGTACCTCCGGACGAGCTGCAAAGACTCAGTGAGGTGGACAATTTGTCAGCATTTATGAAAGTGCTGGAAAACGAGAGCCAAAAAAAACACCAGTTTCTCAAGCCACATATGAAATATAGCAAAAGATTGCCTGTTTAAAAACACCACCACAGTGGACCCTTACATATTTGCAGATTTTTCTATGGAACATAACTCAAATTTTTTTATTATAACTCGCATTTATGGGGATTTCTTCAGAGAGGATATACAAAATATTAGAAAGAAAATGCAGCTTGGGGAACAAATCCCTTGGCTCAGCGCTACTTGAGGCACCGTTGGTTGGTGTCAATCTAGGAGCCCATTCAATTTGGCACCGACTGGCTGCACCGTCTACAGTGGAGAAAAGGAACACTGTAGATGTTAGCTACTGTGGTAGAGATAAAACTGTTTCAACTGTGTGCATCAATGCACATTAAGGTATATGTGCTGTTTCAAATGATTAAAATAGGCAGTTAATAGCTTTTTATAGGGGGTTTCATGTATTCACGGATTTTAGATGTTCATGAATGCTTGAGGTTCCTAAACGATGCAAATCTTAGGGGTCCACCATAGTTGACCTTTCAGAAAAATTTGGCAAAAAACTTCAATCTCTGGCTGGGCAAAGCTGGAAGTGACATACAGTAAAAGACCTGTAGCTGTAAACACAACAAATAATGTCATGACAAAACAATACAGTGTACATCACAATATATATTGTAAAATATATCACTAATTTTATCACTAATCTTTATAAATGCAACTTGCATTTCTCTAACCGGTGCTTACCAGCAGCACTTTATGGGAAGCATTGGATACTTTATAAATACACCTAAAAAATTTGTTCATGCCCCATGCGGAGAGCATTGATCAGCATTCAGTAAGTGACGGCCATTATTGAACAAGCAAATGAGCTATGAACCCAAGCTACTCCATTGCTAATCAAACTTATTTTTGTTAAAGCTCCTTTTTTATTGTTTATTTCCTAAATCAAGCAGAAGAACCAATTTTGGCATCGTAAATATGGCTCACAAGATTTCCATTTGTGAAAGCGTGTTCTTCCTCCCGTCCAGGGAAAGAGTTGCTTAAAAGAAGCAGCTCCACTGTCCCACAGTCAGTGCTCTGTGGATACAGAAAGAGCTGTGAAACAAATATTGAAACCTTTTGACAACTGTAGAAATATTTCTCAGATCAGTTTGTTTTTCTGCCAGGACCTTCTTCATCTTCAATGACTGCCTGCAAATACAACTTTGACTTCAAATTTGTAAAATATAAAAAGAAAACAGAAAGGTATTGTGTGTGAACAAACGCATCCCTTCTTCACTCCTCTTAAAGCAACCATCCACTGCAACTCAGACAGACGCGCTAAGTTGCCTTAGTCCCTCGCCTCGTCAGGCCCTGTGGGCTTCAGAGGCCAGGCAGGACCAGAGAGGGTACAAGCTTACACTAACGATAGAGGAAGCCACACTCTAAAAAGTGTATTTGGGCTGTAGTTAATGTTATGGCCTTTTTTACATTAACCTGACTTAATTGTTTGGCTTTAGTTATGTCAACTTACTTTCATGAGTTCAATTAACTTAAAAGACACACATTTCATCTAAAACAACGGTTAACTTTGAGTTGACGTGAACCAATTAAGTTGAATGCAGTTTTACGTCTGACGTCATTACGCAAGCTTTGCCCGAGACAGATCCACTTCTTGTACCGACCGCTTGTGCAGCCGCCATTTCTTCTGACCATCGACTGTCCACCGGATTGTAAAACAGTAAGTATTCTACACATCATGGCAAAATATTATTTAAACGGTGTAAAAATATTAATGACTTTTTCTACCTTTAATTTGAAACAGTTAACTGTTTTTAACGTCGAAGTATCATCAGTTATTTGCTTTGAACACATTTGCTAGTTGTAATTTGCCGCGCTATTCGGCATGTTTGAACTTAACTGCTCTGTTAGTTAGTGAACGTTTATTTTGAGTGTGTACTTTTTATTTGACCCTAAAAACTGAAATAGCTGGAAGCCGGGTATGTAGTGAAAAACATGAAATGTGATTTAGACTGGAGACGTTCAGGGCTGGTGCTGGTGGACCGAGAACTGCTGGCGTGTTCCGGTCGGAAGCTAGACTGGGTCAAAGTGTGGGAGCAGCTAATGCACTGCAGTGGTGGCCAGATTTTATAACAAGAACTACTGGACAGGTTGATTTTTTATGGGTAATCTTAACGTACAGTTTACGGAGGTGTAGTGTTATACGCAAAACTAATTTAATGTGACGCAACTGCGCTCTGCTTGTCACTTGTCACCGTGAGCTGCAGTCAGGGAAGCATTTGTTCCAATTGTCAGCCTGCTTACTGACGACATGATATAAAACGCATAATATCCTGACTGCGCTAATAATCCATAAGATGTCATTTTTCTTAAAAAAGCAAAAAACAAAATAAGCAATTCATGTTTGTAGGAACTTTGAGTTAATTTCTCTTTCCCACTCTCCAGGCCTGGAGCCAAGCATCATCAGACCATAGAAGGTAAGCCATATTTGCTTCACTAAGCTTCTAATTTAGAAAAAAAAGTTAAGTTATTAGTTAATATGCTGTATTGTATCAATAATATGAAAACATATACTCTAAACTAATTCAAAAATAGTTTCGATAAATAACATCATTTTAAAGTAAAAGGAATAATAGGTGGTCAAAGAACGAGATGAAATTAATTTCCTCCAAGGGTTGATGAGCTCTCACTCAACATGGGGTCAGAAGCTCAGTCATCTCGGAGAGGCTGAGATTAGAGCTGTTGCTCCTCTACATCCAGTGGAGCCATTTGAGGCGGCTCGCGCATCTGATTAAGATGCCTCCTGGAAGCCTCCCTGGTGATGTTTTCTGGGCACGGCCTGCCAGGAGGAGGCCATTGTAGCGGGACTATGTCACTCAGCTGGGCTGCAAAGTCTTTAGGATTCCAAAAGGTAGGGAGGTGGCTGGGAGAGGGAAGCTGCCCTTGCAACCCCACTTTTGATTAAGCTGTTAAGAATTAATTATAGTTAAACAACTTTTTGTTTTCCCACCAATATCTAACATTATTTTAATTTCTAACACTTAAAGAGTGGACAGACATAAAAATAGAAAGGCAATGTCATTTTTTGTCCCTCATAGGGAAAATTACATTGCAACAGCAGAAAGTGACAGGCAATTTGTTTACACAAACATACATATACCAATGTGTGTTTTTAAATATGCACACACAGAGAATTAAGAGAAACATACTGTACAACCAGGGCAAAATTACAACCTAAAAATACTTTGGTAGACTTTAAAGTTTAATCCCATCCTAAGAAATATGCAATTGAGAAGGACAATTTAAGAGATGTGCAATTTTGCCTAAAATATTTGCAATACTAACAATATGACATTTATTAATATAGAGAATGTTTTTTTCTAGGATATTAAAAACATACTGTAATAATTATGGTTAAAAATGCATTCAGAATCTATATTTTACCAAACAGATTTCAAGTATTGCATGGGGTAAGATTGTAACAGTACTCAAAATTGACTCTGCATCCATATTTGTTTAATCTTCCTTGCCTTCAGATTTGGCAACATACATGTAACACAGTTCCTCTCTTATCCTTCTAGTGTTTCACTTCATGTGGAGATGCAAAGACTGCGAGAGCTTGTTTTCCAGAAGATCTGAATTGCTCAAGCACTACAAACTAAACCACAGGCATTATGGACGGGGCTATTCATATCCATGCACATATTTAAGTTGCGCATGTAGATTCAAGACCTAAAATTTTGGCAGAGGTGGAATTTGCATAATTTTGAAGAGCATTATTAACCCGGTGGACATGTGGGCTGCACATTATGGTATTTGAATATATTACTGTTACATCAGAAATCTTGTCAGAGATATGGAATATTGATAACAATACATTTTCTCCAGGTGGAGGACATTGGGATTCGAAGGGAATGTGTTCTGAAAGGGCTCATCACCTTTCTTGGAGAGGATCCAGAAGACCTTATTAAGGAATACAGTGTAAGTTTCTTTTAAAGGTTTGAAGCCGCATCTTAACCCATTCAGGAAAATTGAAAAATTCAATGTCAGTTGCTTGTACCTTTTAAATTATTTCTGGCCTGCATTTTCTATATTTAAACATATGTTTTAATACATCAGGCAGATTTGGTGTCAGAATTGTAAATTTAACATGGTTATGTCCTGCTTAAATCCAACAGTGGTGTGCTTTGCTATTCAGCAAAGACCATTATCTAACTTCACTATCAACTTCATTTCCTGTTCACCAATATAACAAACAAGTTAATAAGAATGTTTTAGTCATGCTATTTTCATACCAGCTCCAAAATATCTGATAAGTAACAGAAATATGCATTTTGTGTTGATTTCCAACCTAAGATGACCATTGGCTTGGACTACTATTCTGCTTTGATGTATAATCTATGAATTTGTTTAAGCTAAAACCTGCAATATGACAAAACACATATAAAGTTACATCCTTGTATTATCTTTTCTAAAAACCTTAAAAATCACCCTTTGAGTTATTCAATTTTTAATGCAACTTTGAACTTGGAAAATTTATCAAGGATATTTCAGATGCCATAAACGATTCTCTTCAATTCACAAGCTGTGCACTTGTACTTAATGCTTGCATTTATAAGGCTTTTATTTGTCAACTGACAGATTAGTTACAGTCTTCAAGTTTAACATATGGTTTATCTCACTACAGGGCAGCTGTGGAGATGATGCCCAGATGGATCTCAAACAACTCACCCTGGCAATGTTTGTGATTCGGAAGAAGGGAGAGGGATTGGAAGAATCCCCAGAAGACATTGGCATTGTCATTGAGGGAGTGGAGGTGTTGCATGACCTGACTTCAGTTGCCTCAGCATGTGCCCTGCTTCTGGGTTTGATATATGCCCTTAACCTGGCTTATCCGAAGCCTCTGCGCTTCACATTTGAAGTGTTTCAAAAAATCTTCATGCAACTTGACCAACACAAAATGTCTCCTAAAGTTCAGAATTTGTTAGGAAGACTTCAGACCTCTCAGTAAAGACAATTGTATGTTGTGCAAAATGACAGATTATTTTCTGTCTTTGTTTGAACATGAGGGGGCTGTGTTTTGGAAGCTTAACCTCAAGGGACTGAACTTTTTGAATTTCTTTTGGGACATTGTGCATATTAAAGCCACAGCATTAGTAGGCTGCTGTAGTATTGTTCACAGACACTTTCACAGTGTTTTTTCATATTTTTTTTCAATTTGGATTAAGCAGTGCTTAATGTTTACTATTCTGTTCTGATGTCAGTTAACTTAAGTATCGGAGATGGTTTAAATGCTGCAAGCCATGACCCCACAACCTTGTTTGAAAGCATGTAGATGTTATTGCTTGTTTTCAGTTTGTTCTTGAAGATGTTAAAAACAGACACACATGTTCTTACATTTTATGTAAAAACAGTTTAGGGATTGAGAATGTTGATTTCCTTTATTTTAGGAGGACTTGTGGTAAATCTGAAAAACATTGTTTTTCAGAGGAATACATCTGGATTCTACAAGCTCACACAGGGATGTCCAAAGTTTGTCCTGGAGAGCCATCAATGTGCAAATGTCAGATGGACTATTTCAATACCACCTTGCTGAATTTACACACCAGCAGACACTCAGCTGAGCAGAGGCATAGTAATGAGCACTTAATTTTATTTGGAGATTGGATTCATCTGAAAGTTGGAGGATGGTAGCTCTCCAGAACTGGACTTGGGGTACCCCATGTTCAGTTTACTAAAAAGCTAACTCAATTAAGCAGACAAGCAAAAGATCTGTGTAGTATGTTCAGTGCAAAATGTGTTGTGAAAAATCTGTAAGTTTGTGATTTCACAATAAAATTTAACATTTTCTATTTGTGCAGTGTAGATTTGTTATAACCAAGTTGAATTTTTGGGTAGTGTAAAGGAATTTTACTGCTATTGTAAAAGCTAAAACATACTTTAAAAGTGATTTATATTTAAGCATTATTGTAAGTACAAAATATGCATAAACGACTTTGGGGTAGTTTCATTTTTTAACTTAGAACAACTTACATTTTTGAGTTGACTTTCTATAAATTTAAGTAAGATGGATTAAACATTTGTATATGAAATAAAGTAAATAAATTGCGTTAGACTGACCTAAATTTATCAAGTTAAACAAACTAAAAAAATTATGTTGATCCAACTTAATTGAATTACTTGTTACCTACAGAAGTAATTCAATTAAGTTGGATCAACTTTTTTCTTTTTAGAGTGCATGTCCAGTGGGCTGGAGCCTGAGAAGACCCTGCACCATTGTTCTGCCAACCCACTGACAGCGTGTGATTTAGGACCAGAGCTGCCCAGGAGCGTTAGGGGAGGAATAGGAGCAAGGGAGGTCACAGAGTGGCTCCACAGGCGCCCTTCAACAATCCTACCCGAATCCCTCCATCCATGAGACGGCAAAATGAATCATGGCTGACCCAGTGCTAGGCCTGAGCTTGGGCCTGGCCTGGCCATTCCACTTCCATCAACCCCCTCCTCTCCCTGGAAAAAAACTTGACAAATCTGGTGTTTATTTACTTAAAAAGACCAGGAGAAAGAGCAAAGGGGGGGCAGGTAAAAAAACTGCTTAAAATCAATACAGAGTTAGCAGTTCCTGCCCTGCTGCTGCTCTTTTTTTGTTTGAACGGCAGAAGAAATATAACCTGGAGCCTAATAAGAATCCCAGGTGGAGACGGGTTGCAGGTGTCCTCTGCAACCTGCACATAACCAAAGGGAAACTCTAGAAAAGGTACAGCCAGCAGAGAAGAGGAGAAGAGATCCAAAAGTGCTCTTTAGACCAGCTGACATTAATGAGGTAGGTAACAGTATGCTGGGCCCTAAACAGTTAAAAGAAACACAAAACACAATAGTCAAAGTCCAAACTGTAGATGATGTATGTCCTTAGCCAGAGACATGAGAGACAAAATTTGTCTTCAAAGTTTGACTCCAGACAACGAAGCATTGAATCCACAAAGCTTCCACTCTCACCACATGACAGGGAGAAAACAGATAAGGCAAGCTTTCATGGGAGAGGGAGGGTGGCCATCACGCTGGCCCCCTAAAAAGAAATAGCAGCGGTGAGCTGTCAAGGTTTCTGTCATATCCTACATCACCTCAGCCGCCCATTCCATCCCATCTCTGGCAAGCCATGCAGACGGCTACGGCCAAGGATGAAAGTGCTGGAAAATGGAAGTCATTGTAAACCATTTTCTGCCCTGGAGCCCCCACCTCAGTCGTCCTCTCCATCTCCACCCCTCTTCTTCCCAACTGCTCTTGAAGACAAATGGGCGCAGGGCAATGACAGAGTGCCTGGTCCACAAATCACCAGCGGCTGAGCTGCACGTCCACTGCTTCCTCTTCCCCCGCTGCCCCCTCCCTGCACGTAACCTCACAACCCTCCACCCCCCAATTCCCGGCCGCTCCATTAGTCATGTGCACACGGGCAGCAGCCAGCAGCCGTAATTAGACAAGGACAAATCGCCGGTCGCGGACACAGACGAGTCCGGCCGCTAAATAAGGCCCTTCCATCCTGTAGGGTGGGCGGCAAAAAAGGGCCAAGAAGGAGACTGGGGTGTCAGACAGAGAAGAGGGAAGAGGATGGTACTGTCCAAAGAACAATATCATGTTGGTTTGGCCTGAAATGATAACTCATTATTATACAGCAGGACAGATCAAACCCATTGACCAATAAAGTAAACAGTAAATCCAGTATGGATCAACCTCTGCTGCGCTCCAGAATGATCAAAGCCTGAAGTTATAAAATACTACTAGAGCACCTGGTGCTGCCTTTGGTAAGACTTAGAAGTAGTTTTGGCATCAAAACATGAAAGTTAATTTTATGTATAGCTTACTTAAAAAAAAAAAAAAAAAAAAAAAAACATTAAAAAGTGTGGTGGAGAATATATGAATAACTTCCAAAGAGGCAAGTGTGCAGCAGAACAAATCCTGGTAAGCACTTTACATCTGAAGCTGCAATATGGATCATACAAAGTTAAATAGATGTAAGACATTCCTTATATGTTTTGGAAAGGTCAAATATGATCAAAATGATATTTACTGTGCTCAAGATGGACCCAGTGTTTGTGTTAAAAGGTGACACTTGGATCAGAGATCAAGTTTGATCAGTGATCCACCCAATAATCAAGAGAAGACCAAGTGTTTTGTTGCTGCAAGTAATATTTTGACTTGCATTCTGGAAGAGTAAGACATTTATCTGTAAGGTAGAATTGATTCATATTATTCTGATACAGCAAAATTACTTTAAGAAGACAATCTAAAGCATTCTGAAATACTGAACTGTGCTTAAATTATTAAATTTAACTAGATTTCCAAATGTAGCTTCACTTTTATTAGAAGGAGGAACCAAATCAAGATAGCATTACATTCCTTTGAGTGCAACTCCACTACGTCATTTGTTTTTTTGATGGCCCAATCAGTTTTAAATATATAAATGAAGTAAATAATGCAAAGCTGAAGCAATAAAGTGCAATAAAGAGGTTTCAGGGTCCGTTAAGTGCAACATTAGAAGGATAAAATTACCCAAACTGAGAACTTACTGAATCAGATTACACATAGACGAAGAAACCAGGAGTCAACAAAATATAAATTAGAGCCATATGAGTGTAGAGCAGCCTGAATCCACAGAGGAGTATCGGTAACAATTGCTTTGGCCAGGTCAGAGCTGCAATACATTCCCTGGGCAACATGAAACTGACCAACACACACGCACAGCATGCTCCACTGGAGCAAACTTTATTGATCTGCCACCTAATTTCCTAATTAGTTTTTATTGGATTTCATAATCGTCATCAGGGCACATCAAAAGAAACTCAAAACCCCAGCAACATTTTCTGCCCTCCTCAACATAATTTTTTTAACAGTTAAAATGAAGCCATGTATTCAATTGCAAGTCCCCAGCTGTGAGAGCAACTCTTTTTTTTTTTTCCATTACCCCTCCAGAACTCCTTGGACAGCAAACACTGCACAAACACACCATTTCTCCTATGTGCAGTAACTGATGTTTAGCATTGCACATTTTCTGCATGATCTGCTGCTATTTGTCACAGTGCTCTCTCCGCAGTCGCCTCTTACTTGTAGCACTTGTTAAACACACTGCAGTATGGGGCCTGGAAAAATGTGGAGACGGCAGAAAAAAAAAAAAAAAAAAAACAGTACCCTTCAGACAACAATTTAGTTGTTTAGCCTTTCTACTTCCTTATGTTTTTACATAACTAAGCAATAAAACTCTCCCGACCAAAAACTTTTAGTCATGCTCCTTTCTCTTCAACGTTTCTGCTTATGAGCCACACCAGCCTGTCAAGGTTTATGCTCAAGACACAAAAACTTCTTTAAAAAATAATCTGTGATTAGCACAGCTGTCAGCTTCATGAATAACTGAATGTCAATCAGCAATCCGAACTATTTAAAAAACACAACCACGGGTTAGTGGTTGTGGTTTTTTTCCTTAAAGACTGCAGGACTTATGACTGCTATGGAATAACATTTTCTACTTTGTGCCATCTAGCTTGTCACAAATGAAAGGACAACGTAGAGGGATGAAATGGTAGTCTGCACAGAAAGTGTGTATTTGCAACTCTGATCTAATCTCAATACCATAACATAAAAAATAAATCTGGAGCCTTTTGTTCCACTGCCAGATATTCATCAATTGATCCATCTTTCCATCGTTTTGTCTACGGCATGGACTTTAAGAATGCAGGGGAGCCTTTATACATCACATGTTTTAAAAAAGCAGAAGGAGGGAAAAATATGGAAAAATGTGACAAGAGTCCCGTTATTGTTAGTGGACCATAAATCCAAAATGATGAGTTAAAGAAAAAAGTGCAGTGGGAGTCAAAGACCACAGCCCCTCGCAAAGATTAATACCCGAGACTCTCCCCTTACTCTTATAACAACCTATTTTAATGATGTGAAACACCAAATACACCTTAATGTACATTAGCACACAGTAGAAACTGCCTCAGCACTGCCCCAGAAGCTGAAGTCCTCAATCTGCCAATCAGCACCAAGGAAAATGATTAGCACTCCTAGTTATGCCCCTTTTCTCCCTAGGAACTTCAACTCCTATAGCTTAATTTTCTGTCAAATATTTTAAATGTGCTCCTCGCAAATCTATAATAAATGTTTAGACTGTTTAGTTGTGCAGCAGCAATAGTATTGTTTTTTTTCTACAAAGGTATCAAACATTTTGCAATCCTCTGTCTGAAAAACTATAAAATATTCCTCTTTAGTCCTTTCTTTCCTTTTCTCCTGATGTACATAGTTCCACTTAACAGCAAGTCAATACCATTTAAGCAAAAGATCATTTCTTCTGATTTACTATTTATTTTAATCCAGATTTCTTTGATCCAGTCCAATAATTTACAATCCAAACATTTAGACTCCAATCCAAACAAAATTCTACAAAATTCTATAATTAAATAAGTGATTCATTATTTTGAATACAAAAAAATACATGAGTTTAAAATGATTTATTTCCCTAAATAATGTCAACAAACCACTCAACCAATTAGATAAAGTGGAAAAATTCTGCAGAAGTCAGAAAAATCTTGTAATGCAAAAATAGCACAACTACACACTGTGAAGTACATTAGTCAACCAATTAGATATTTTTTGCTCATGAACAAGAAAAGTATTTAGATTAAATATTTTTATGAAACATTTGAATGCAGTAGAAAATAAGGCAAACATATTTAAACAGGATTAAAGTCTGTTACAGTTTTATCAAATTTCACTGCCTTTTTTCACACAGCGAGGACATGACTCCAGCTGTTGAAATCCCTCTAA